TAATGAGACATGCTGCATTATCACAGAGTGTCTGCGCCCTACACCACTGGAGAAATTACACTGTCTAGCCAGTATAGCACAACCTGATATCTTCTGGGAAGTAGCAGCCAATAATGAAAGGACCAAGGCAGTGACATCTCTGGCCCACCCCCTATTCYGATATCAGCCAGCATGCCAAAGTCTTAAATCAAGAAATAGTTTTCTAAGATCTACAGAGATAATCYCAGAAACACCTCAGCAAGCGAGAGTCCAAAAGTGACAGCACCTCAATCCATGGTTGATACCAAATGAGAGACTCCCTCCTGGGCACACAGAAGACTGGGCAACTTGGAAAGCMCTGAACAGACTGCACTCTGGCACCATGAGATGCAGAGCCAACTTTAAGAAATGAGGCTACAAAGTGGAATCCATGAGATGTGAGTGTGGAGAAGAGCAAACCACAGACCACCTACTTCAATGCAACCTGAGCCCTGCCACATGCACAATGGAGGACCTTCTTGTAGCAGCACCAGAGGCACTCCAAGTGGCAAGCTATTGGTTAAAGGACATTCAATAGAATGCCAAGTTTTTAAACTTTGTGTTTTCTCAAACACATTGGTTTGCTCCTAATACGATAAATAAAAATATCATTAGTATTATTAATAGGCATCCTTATAATTATAATCCTTCAATCTAGAGCCTTTCCTGACTCAAATTTTCTAGTCATCAGTAAAAAGCAACAGTTACACATTTCTAATTGATATCAGTAGATAATTCTTATAATTACGAAACCCAAGTCCTGAAACTGGATTATATCAATTGGGAAATGTGTTTGGATTTCATAAATCATTTTCAATGACATGCTCACCTGTCTTTCAGGGTTAGGTCTAGAAAGAAAAATAATGAGTCACTTATGGTACTTAAGAATGAAAAAAAAAACAAAACAAGAGACACAATACTAATAACAAAATCAGCATATTAACATGTATAGAATCTTGCAACTATAACATTCCTCAAATATATAACAACATGGTTGCCATTTCACTGCTCACTAATCCTTCTATCGCTTTCCATACCACTGCTGCAAAGAAAGGTCTAGTTATAGTTTTTGCTCCTACATTCTTTCCACTGCCTATTGTTCATCCCTGCCTTATAAGTTAAAGCCCTGATCATGTGAATTGGAGGCAAGGTGTGCATTATCATTCATAGTCCTATCTCTTAGAATCATAGAATTGGAAGAAACCTCATGGGCCATCTAGTTCAACTCCCTGCCAAGAAGCAGGAAAATTGCATTCAAAGCACCCCCGACAGATGGCCATCCAGCCTCTGTTTAAAAGCCTCCAAAGAAGGCTTCTCTTATAGGTTAAAAATTAACATGGGTTATAAAAGGCTACACCTCTCTTACACACAAAGTTCAAAAAATGATCTTTTGGGGTTTCTTGTCTTTGATTGCTTGGTGAACATTAAATTTCCCAATATCCTGAAACCCATGTATTAATAAGCATAGTTTTTCCCTGCATGTGGCTTCCCTTTCAAGAAGTGTGATTTCCTGGCTTATCTCCTCCCCAATTTACTCATGTAATCATGTATAAGGGTAGAAATTTTAATTAAAAAATCAACCCCAAAAACCTGGGTTAATGGGTCAGGTAGGAGCCATCCCCTTGTTTGAATAGATTTGTGAAAGGCAATAACTTAGTTCATGCCAGGAGAACTTAAAATAAGCACTAACCCCCTATTCTCTCTGCTGTGGCTCAGCTTCTGGACTTTTTTAAATGCTAAGGTGGGGAAATGATAGCATTAGTCAGGATTGGCTGGCCACCTAAGGTGACACTGATGCTTTTCCCTCTCTCTGGAATGAACCCCTATTTATCCACGAGCCATATCAAAATCCATAATTTTGGCTCCAAAACCTGCCCTCGACTTAGACATAAAGTCAACTTATATGAGTACACACAGTAAGTGTAATGTTTCATCACTTTTTTTTACTTGCACTCCATCTTGAGGAACCTTGTGAGTTTGGCATCCTTCAGCTTGCATTTCTTGATAATCAAATGAAAACTTAATTTTTAGGCATTCCTACTTCAGCATTGTACAAAAATTTTACCAGTGGATTAAATATGGCATGCTATCATGTTTGAATAATTTACGTTGTACCTTCTAGAGTTAATCTTTATGATAGGTTTTGGCAAGAATGGTTGGGTTGGCATAGCACTGGGATGGGATGCTAGAGCAGTGAGTGGGGGGTATATCATCAAATGGTGAGGAACAAGGATTACAGCCAATCTGCTTTCTTGGCAATACAATTTCCTATTTAGCTGCCTACCTCTTTTGCCAGTTTTTTGTTACATTAGAAGATAATACTTGTATTATTTGATATGATGATTAATGATTACCTATTTTTTTTATAAATCATACTTGTTGTAGGCTTTAGGCATGATATGCTTTATACTACACAAAATTATATATTTTTGCAAGTAACAACTGTAGTGCATGTGCTCTGTGCTATGGATTGATCAAATTAATTTTTTTTTACTTTAAAAGAACCAACTCTATATGATTTGTTTATACCAGCGGTTTCCAACCTTTGGGCCTCTAGTTGTTTTGGACTTCAACTCCCAGAAATTCCAGTCATCTTATTAACTGTTAGGAACTGTGAGAGTTGAAGTCCAAAATGCCTAAAAGAACAAAGATTGGAAATCACTAGTTTATTTGGTAAATAAATAAAAAGATTTCCAGGAATGCCTTTAAGGATATTAAAAATGCCATAAGATGATGTACACTACTCTGATGCAAGAATGTGTAAAATACAAAAAAGCTTAAATCCATTAAATTCATCTCCTAATGAAAATAAACAGTATAAATTAGTTCTAGAAAATGTAATTAGTTGAAAATCTTTTAAAATTAAATCTGGAGCCCCAAGAATTTCTTGAGGTAGTTTCATAAATGTACGGTAATAAATGTTTAGCCGTCTGATTTGCAATATGCAGTCCTTTCTGATTTTGAGTACAGTGGTACTCTGTAAGCCTGATTTGATCTGATTTTGCTATCATTAAGCCATACTGATTTGGAAAGAGGATTTATACATTTTTTAAAGAACCATTCATTAATTTTAAACCTAAATTGCTTCATAAAATGCTTCAGTTTCTTGGAATTCATAGCAAAGCTTGCACCCTTGGGAACCATTTTGGGTATCGTGGCTTAAAAACGGGGCAGTTTGTCAAACTATTATTGCAGTTTGACAGTCTGAGTTTAAAACAAAGACATTGTACTCACTATCCATTTTTAATTAATATCGAGCCATTATGAAGGGTTACTTTACCTTGCTTTTTTCTGAGAAATTGAAACATTAGCCTCTGTTGGTCTAACAATAAAGACAATAAAGAGTAGGAAAGTTGAAGATTAAAATGAGCATCCTCTGGCAGCCGTGCTCTTCTTCGGCCCCTTCATCTGGGTTGCAATGCCACCCAAAAAGTTGCTGGGACTTCCAAGGTTGTAGTTACCAGCCAGGTCCACCTGAGTGCCCCCCCCCATGGGTAAAGCATGGTTTTCCTTTCCTGGGCCCCTTGTCCTCCCCAATGGTTGAGATACCCCCTCCACTCTGTCCGCTTGGCACCCTCCCCTTCTATTTAAATTTATGTGGTCTGCAAATGATGCTATAAATCTCCAAATGCCGCTTGGCAGAAAAAAGGTTCCCCACCTCTTTTTTTTTACACTTAACATGATGGATGGGGCAGTCTGTTTACAGGAGGAAATTTGCCTTGGAACATAAGGGAATTCCTACTTATCTCTAATTTGTGGTAGGACCTAGTGGGGCAGTTTTTTTTCATGTCAGGAGCTTCTCAAGTCACTTCTGATGTGAAAGAATTGGTTGTCTGCAAGGACGTTGCCCAGGGGACATCTAGATGTTTTGCTGTTTTATCATCTTTGTACAGGAGGCCTCTCTCATGTCCCCACATGGGGAGTTGGAGTGGATAGAGGGAGCTCAACCCGCTCTCCCCAGATTCGAACCGCTGACCTGTCAGTCAACAGTCTTGCCTGCACAAGGATTTAACCCATTTCACCACTTGGGCAGTGACGTCGCCCTTTGCAAGTTGGTGGACTGTGGAGGGATACATGAGACTGAATTCTATTCTTTGTAGGCTAGATTAGTCCCACAGGTGAAAAGTACTTTTGCTGTGTTGTAAGGTATGATCAAGATCTTCAAACCATAATTAGAGATATTGTTGGTTTCCAACAGAGGTGCTCAGTTAGTATTCTAACAGCTTTTCAACTAAATTGGGATGATTATCGCCTCCTGATCTTTGGGTGGCTTGCATCCCTACTCTTCTGCTCTACTACTATTTGGAATGAAGTGAAAGTGAGTATTTCTAAGTTATTTAGGGCAAATCTTTTTGGACACTTTCCACTTCAGGAGGAATGTCTTGAAAAGCACACACCCCTAATTATACTTATGAGAACATACCCCAAGAAATAACACATTTGGTCATAAATCTAAATCCTAACTATAGTGGAATCCTAAAATTTAGAGGATCTTGGAACATCAACACTTACGTTAGTTCTGTTGTTCAGTGGATTTACTTTCATTGGGACAAACAATTGGATTTGGGCCTTAATCTTTTCAAAAGTACACTATTGTGGTGATTCATGATGCTAAGACAATCTGATACTTCTTCCCAGTCTTCCAGTTAATCCTACAATTATGACAATAATAACTTCGGAACATAAACTTGATTAAAAGTACTGTACTTAGCTTTCCAAGGTTGTCCCTTTTTTAATGGTTTTGTCATGTACAGCATGCTGTTGACTATTATAAATGTTCCTGATAAAATGTACAGTATTTACTTCCTTTGGTGTACAGTATTTACTGTAAATATAATTTCACCAGATTCACATTCCATGATTTTCTGTGTCAACCTTAAGGGATAAAAGTACTTTAATTGTGCCTTGATTTAAGACAGGCAGATCAAAGTCACTTAATTTGCCGGGTTCACAAATGTATTTCTTTTCCTCCCTTTTGGCAGGCTTTCAAAGAGATGCTGTATGCAGCTCAGGACCAGGCCCCTTCCATAGAAGGTAAGCAAGCTATAATTTTTGCATAGGTTTTGACGTTAAGCACTGAGATGCCCATCTTCTGTTCAAAGAAAGTCATCTCAGAGTCATAGAAGCACAAGTTCAGAATCATATTTTAATGGTTGTAATATCTTCTTGCTTCAGAATATTTTCTCTCTCTATATACTACTATAAGTTTATACAGGTGCCAGAAGTCAAATTGCTTCTTTCCCTGTCAGACAGCCCAATGTTCTGTTCAATATAGTATATGCAAAGCAAGGAAGTCTTATCATGGACATATAATAGCCTTCATTTTGCTTTTTCATTACTATAACAGTTTTCATCTTGTTTTATGTATCAGCAGAAATATCTAATAATTTATTGTGGAGGACCTAGACTAAAAGTAATATTTCCATTCTCCTACCCAAAAAACCTATTTCCTGGTAAATACACATTTGTTAAATGCGGCTCAATAGTGAACTGAAAAAATGTACGCAATGGTAATGTGTAGGAGTCAGTTTTAAATTTGTTACTATTCATAATCTTCATAAATATTGGTAGTATATGGTTACAGGCTTGTTTTCAGACTGAGAAAAAAATCTACAAAAACAAAGAAGAATGCTGTGTGGGTCTGTCCGTTTCATACAAATAGCAAAACAAAGCTTACATGAAATATATAAGAGTCCATTTAGAAAATCCATTCATCAGGATTCGTGGACTTAATGCGGTCCCGATGGTGAGGTGAAGGGGCGCCTCACTGGGAAGGTGTAAGTGAAGGGCGGAGCAAGCTGCAGGCATTCGGGGTGCCCGGAGTATGAAAAAAAGAGATAGAGTGGCTCTGGGCCCAGAAAAACACAACTCTTTTACCTGTCTGGCCCGCCCTTGTATCCTGTTACCGTACCTCCTCCTGATCTCACTCCTGAGGATTGCAGTGAAGTGGTACAGGTGCGCATGTGCGAGATCTGAGAGGCAGAGGAGGTACAATAATAGGAAAATTACCATATTGAAATCAGATCTGATGCTTTTAAAAATTTTATTTGGTGTGTGTTGGAAGAAGGGTAGTTTTATACGGCAAGTATATCCCAAACTCTATATTTTAACTGGAAAGGTTGAGGGTCATCTTATATGCCCAGTCATCTTATATGATAAATATGCGGATGGTTTGATATTTGTTTTTACTTGAAAAGGGGAAAAGTCAGTTTGTGATGTTATTTATTTTTTATTTTTCTATTATTATTTTAAAAGGTGATAATAGAGGTTAGTTGTTAGTTTTAGTTGGTAGGGAGGCAGAATAAGGGAGTCAGAATATTATGGGGTTATTTTATTTTGTTGTAAAAATACAATAAAGTTAATTGGAAAAATAAATATTGGTACTAATATGAAAAATTGCTAATAAACTGAAGAATGGCTAAACATTTTTCCTTTAGGAAGCGTCTGTTTGGTGACAGTAAAACTTGAAAAGCCAACATCAAAGAGTTTTAGATAGGATATTTTTTTTCTATATCTCAACCTTCATGTTATTCAATAAGGCCTGCAGGTTATAGGTTCCTATACTTTGTTAAAAAACTGTGAACCAGATTCAGGTTATGGCAAGTGCTGGCGCCTAAAGAAATGGGAGCTTTGCAACTTTGGCATGTGATGCAGTCTTTCTTGTGTGTTTCAGCAGTGTAAATTCTCCAGATATGCATGGAGGTGTGCAGGAGCTTTCCCCCTGCTGTTCAACTGGATCTAGTTGGACTTGGGACACACACCTGCAGTTGAACCAGTGGCAGAGTGCTCAACTGTGCCTGGGCACAGCCCTGCTGCCACTGAGCAGCTGGTTGCAAGCCTTAACCTGGAGGTCAAGTGAGCCCAAGAGACTACTGTGTGTTTCTTCTCCCGTAATTGTGAAACAGCAGCCGGATGGTGCTATAGTACATCTCCACTTCCACCACACACATCCTAGCTCCATCTGCCTGCTGTTGTCAGCCAAGGAAGAAGAGGTAGCTGTACTGTAGCTATCCAGGTCTTTAATCTAAGTAGGTTTTATGCTTCACTTGACTCAAATAGGATGTTGGGCGTGATCCTTTATATCTAGATTTTCTTCAAGCTGGTAATAATGATCAAATTCATTTGGATGTTGATGTGTCTTCACAATTTTCCAGTGAGTAGCTGCAAGCATTAATATATCGAAATGAATAAATGAGAAGAGTTAAATGTGATATTTACTTTCTGTGCATTAGGTTCCAGATTTCACAAGCATAAAACTGTTACATTTTAGTGTTGACTTCCTTGTATTCTCTGACTTTGCTAAGTACTATCTAGGCTTTGTTCCAATGTCCTCTTGGTTCATAAAACATCACTTTCCGAACCTGATTGTTCTGAGAAATAAAAAGTGTGTTTGTAGAGACTTGATCTTTTCTTTTATAAAACCTTTAGAACTCTCTCAGTAAATATACTCTAGAACTTGCTGTCCTGAACTTTATTCTGTACTGTCAAACAGTGGATCAGATTTCAAGCTTTTATTGCTAGCGTTTCCAGTTAAAATAAAATTTCACTAGGAACGACTTCAATTTGGAAATTGAGAGGAGAACATGAAAAAACAGCAGATATCTGTTAAAATACTAAGAATGAGATTTTCATAAATGGCATTTATTTTTCTACTGTGGAAATGTTTATTAGATGTGGGATAATGAACACTCATCCATGCAACTCTTTAACCAGTACTAATTTATGTCAGCTATACTAAATTGATGCATCTAAATAGCCAAAAGTTATCAGATCCTGTTTGATCTTGGGAGCTAAGCAGGCTCAGTGCTGGTTAGTACTTTAATGGGTGACTGCCAAGTGCTGTAAGTTTCCGAAACTGGCAAAACCACCTCTGAGTAAGAAAACCATATGGAATTAATGCGATTACCACAAGTCTATAGGTGACGTGAAGGCATATACCTACCGACACACATTTAATTGACTTTTACTATTGTAACCAAACCTATCCTGATAGAACAGTTGGGAATTTTAGTTTAATGGTAGCAAACAACACACTAATGCCTACTGCTCCTTAGCTTAACCCCTTAATAAATCAAGAAATGGCGATCCTAATATGTTTATTGTTGTATTGGAAATAGGATTCTTAGCTTCTTGTTCCAAAACAAATCAGTAATCAAAATCCATTGTTGAATAAAGTGGGAGAAATTCTTGTTATCTACTGTTACTTGGTATTACTTGCATACTAGTATCAAATTGAACACAACTTCCCATACAAATTGAGTTATTTTTCTTTTTTATATAATCAGATGACATTATGAGCAAGGGTATATAAGTGTTACCACTGATGTACCATAGCATATTTACCTTGATACAGAAATAATTGCCTGCATTTCCTAGGGGATTTTCTGGCATACAGTGAAATGAACATAATTCAGAGTTTTATATGTTGAAGAATTGCTATTGTCTTGTGGCTTCATCTCCCATGTATAAATTACTCCTTTTTAAAAAGCAAGCCAATATAATAAATACTATAATTTTGCTTGCAAGTTAATATTTTAAAAGTAAATGTTATGCATTTGCTTTGAAAGATGGGGAGGATTAGGGATTGGTGGAAAATGTCATGGTAAAGGAACCAAATCTTGTCCTTGGAAAGAAAATTGTGCCTGGATTTTTTGCTCTCAGCAACAAAGGTTGCTGGACAATGCCTGATTATTTCTACTTGGTTAGCAGATGAGTCTCCATCTCCCCAAGCTCCTGGAAATCCAGCTTTTTTCAATAGCAGTGAAGTTTAAAGTGACCCTGTAAATTATTCATTATGATTATCTGCCTGAATGGCCTGAGTCTACATTTAATATTTTTCCCTAGGATCTTTGCAGCTCTAAAGGGTCTGTTGGGGGGTTTGAAAATAACACAAGGAGAGAAAAGCCATATCAAACTTGAATTTGGTATCTGCTTAGTGCACCTGTAAATATTTTCCATATAGTTTACTAGCTTTTTATGTTCCTTTTTTTGTTCAGTTCCTATATTAAGTATATGTTATTTAATTGTTTCCCAATTATTTAAATACGTGGGAATTGTTATCAGTGAATCTTTTTCCTGGAGATATAAAAGAAAGAAAGAAAGAAAGAAAGAAAGAAAGAAAGGAAGGAAGGAAGGAAGGAAGGAAGGAAGGAAGGAAGGAAGGAAGGAAGGAAGGAAGGAAGGAAAGAAAGAAAGAAAGAAAGAAAGAAAGAAAGAAAGAAAGAGAAAAAGATGGTTATTTTCTGGAAGAGCCTGATTTTTCAATGTAAGTGATAATTCCTCAGAAGAGATTTATTGAAAGCACCAGTATGTAAATGTTTCCAAAATAGCTAAAGAGAAATATGGGCAGGAGAAGACCAGCTAAGAAATACATAAGTTGACTGAACTGTAAAAGGTTCATGTGGGTTTCTCTGGATTTTCTATGCTGGGGATGGGGCTTGCATTTTATTATGTTTCTATTTGCTATATTCTTTATGCTCATTTACAATTTGCCATGTCTCAGGGCGGGAAACGTAATATGTTAGACAAGCCTGATAAATAATATGGATAGATTCAAGCAAGGAAGTCATGGCCATGAATCTGCAGCTCCTGAGCAGGACTGTTGATGATGGGCATGACTTGAAGGCGTCTTATTCATAAGCTCACCATAACGTAAAGTCAACTTTATGGCGTTTAACAACAACAGCTCCTCAAGTTTCAGTCCAACAAATAAAGCCCTATAAAGTGGGCCCTTGGTATCTACTGGGATTTGCTTTCGGATCCCACCAGGTTCTGAACGAATGCTCAAGTCGCTTTACATACTATTGTGTAGTAATATGGTGCCCCTTAATCACAAAATCAAAGTTTGCATTTTGGAGAGAAAATGGAATATGCTTAAGATGTGGGTGTTTGAATCCGTGGATATGAAGAGCTGACAGTACGTTGGTGACTGCTGTGTGGATAGTATTTTAGAAAAAATATTTTTTCCCAGGTAAGTTTATTGTAAAGGGAGTGGTTATACAATAAAGAATTACAACTGTTGTGAGTAATACTCC